ACTGATGTTAAATAATTAGTTTTTAATTTAAAACTGATCAAATATTGAATCTAATATCAATAGCCAAGTTAATAATTGATGATTATGGCGAAAACGTCAAAATTAATTTTTGATAAAATATGGGTCATCTTATGGTCAGTTGAAAACTTGAAATTAATATTTCGAAATGTATATGATCTCCGATTTTTAATTTTTTTAAGAATTATTATCCGTTTACTATTTTTTTAATAATTTATTCCACAATTAGTATGGCTGGGTATTTATTTAAAAAAATATTGCGATTATTATACTTTTTAAAAAAATAGATGGCGCTATATATAATAGTTTTAATATGTTAAAATTTATTTTTTTTATTGATTAAAAATATTTTAATGTATATATATCATACTAAATCGATTACAATGTGCATTATATATATTATTTGTTATTCAGATTATAACTTTTTAAAATCTTCACAAATTTTGCCTAATTAAGATAGTTTATAAATTAATTAAATCTTACTTCATCTAAAGGAATACAAAGCCTGGCTAGCTTGTGAGATTCTTCAGCAGATAATATATATGTTCGACTGGTGGGAGTAGAAGGATTGACCAGCGAGAGAATATGAGATTTAGGCAACACTAAAATATTATCTTTCAGAGGAAATTTAAATGAGGCTGAAGGTCCACAAGGGTGTAAAAATCGGATTTACATTTGTATAACTTTTATCGATTATATATCCTAACCACCATATATCATCATATACACATGTTATATATCCATTAATATTTTAAAATATAATTTTCTCATTTAAAAACGGAACTTGTTTTATATTATATTTTTTGGAATTAGAATATATTTTGGTTTTTAGTTTATTTTGATCAATGAGAATAATCCCGTGAATTTTTTGGGTCCCATGTATGAGCAGTGCAGAATTAAATCTTTTATGAAGGGCTAATTCCTCTTCGATATATTCTTGATTGGATACATATTCAAATTGAATATTAATATTTTCTTTAGCATAATTATATAATTCTAATGGGGTTAGGATTTGATTTTTATTTGGCCTTTGAAGACTAGCTCTGGCAACTAATCTTTTGACAGTTCCTCCGATACCGTCACATGCATTTTTGCCGTGAGCAGTGACAAAGAAATGCCATTCGGCAGGAATATTAAAATCGTATTTATGAAGGCATATGTTCAGAAAATTTTTGCGATTCTTGTATCGAGACGCGGCTTCATCCGAAAAATATATTATTTTTTCTGGTTTAGAATTAAATTTGGCTGTTAAGAATTTAATGAATTTTTTTTTGATAAAGGTGGACTGCACTAGTATTATGGCTTAATGATTAGGACAAAATAACAAAATTTATATTTTTTAATTCTTCTCCAGATTTATAATATGCTACAAATGGATGTATAGTGGCCTGCACATTGTTCCAATGAAATCCCTGAACTTCATCTTGTAAAATGAAGGTATAATTCTCAGAATAATCTAGAATTGTTAAAAATTCCTCACCTTTTAAATTTTCTTTGGAATTCTTCAAAAATAAACTTTGTGTTTAGTTATAAACGAGTGACGCAGTAAAATTTGACTTTATATAATAGATATTAGATGAAACCATCAATGGACTTTATAATAGTTCCAAGATTTGCTCTATCCACCGTGATCCATTGTTTAAACGTGACATATTCTATATGATTTCTCTGAAACAATTCGTATAATTGGCCGATAAGAGATTCTATACCAGGGCATTGATCACAATTTGTTAAATAACATTTTGGCTGAGATGGATTACAAATAATTTGCAGATTGTTATAAGAATTTATACAGTAATCTTCTCCTGCTGTAATTTCAGCTATTACTTTTGTCATTAATTTCACATTCTGATGAATGGCGCAGACACAAACAGTGTGTGTGCCATCCAACTAAAATTCAGTTTTTTGGTCTAAGTTCGGCAAATTTAGGGAATCCAATTGATATACTTGGGTATTCTTCCTTAAACATCTTGAATATTTCTTTAAGATTATTTAATATAAATCTTTGCTGATTCTTTCTCGCCTTTAACAGATACACAATATTTTATTCCAGGCATGAGTCGGCTTATTTCATCAGAACTATAATTTTGTTATTTTTATTGCTTAAAAAATTTTTCAAAATTTTCTTTATCTCTGGTTATTTTAATAATGTAAGATAATGACAATTTCATAACATTCTTGGTCTTAATGAGTATGACTTAGTCTGGGGAGGGGGTGGATAGGGGGTTGGGGGTAGGCCTGGTAATTAATGTGATTTCCGATTTTTCCCTTAATAATTTTCCTGCACCCCTTTAATCCTGCTTTTTTTGTTCGTGTGCTAGTCCGATTTTTTAATTATTTTATTTACATTGTATTAAAAAAATTATTAAAATTTTTTATCCTGCGAATATCTCAGGAGAATAAGGTTTACAAAGTTATATAATCCAATTTTATATTTTCCTCCGTTGACTCTAATTTTTCCAGTCCAAAATTTTTGTCTTCGTCCTCTAAAATCTAAAGAGCCGTAACAAATGTTCCATAAACTAAAGAAATTATATATATATGCTCATATCCTATTTTTTTTTAATTAACACTAAGCATATAATATTCCTTTCTCATTATTTGAAAATTTATGAATTCCTATTTATCATAAGCTTCTTCAAATTCGTGGTCGTTAATTTTACTGAGTTGTAAAATGAGTTTCATCTCGCTATAACTAGTTTAGTAAGATATTTTTCCTTAAAATTAGCTGCATAGCTAAAGACTTATGCCTATTTTCATACCATTTCAAAAAAAAAATTCTGAATGTAAGCAATTATTGAATATTCTATCAACATTTGCATAATATACACTTATAAAATGTTGACTTGGTGCCCTTATTAATGTAAAAAATGTTATATACTGGAGATAAGGCAGAGTTAAATCATTTTTATCTGAAGAAATAAGAGTACCATGGACATATATTCTTTTTTTAAATAAATTAAAATATTAGAGTATATAAATTAGCATACCTTGATTGATTCAATATTAATTAGATTAATAATCTCGATCTCGACTATAAAATTCAACAACTAAACTTTAACAAATAAAATAAAAATGATCAACTTTGTGGTTGATCTGAATTAAAAACTCGTAAAATTAAAAAATATAGAATAAAATTGAATACATTTTTTCTTCTTTCTTTAAGAAAAAATTCAAAGTAACGTTTTGCGTTACCGTTACTCGAGGAAAAATAAACGCGTTACTCGTTACCTCTTTAAAAGGGTATTGAATGGCGTTCTTTTTATTCAAAAAAGTTAGTGCTAGTAACGACGTTACTTTACAGCACTAACAAATACAGATCAATTTTGTTTTCAAGGCATTGTCAAAATATAGATAGAGCATTTTAACTTGAATAGGGAAGTTCATGTATCAGACCGTTGCATTTGACAGAACCACTATCTTTAAAGACCGGCTTTTTTATTTTATCATTTTAAGAATGTTTTTGTTTTTGCCTAATTAAATTCTTCTTTATTGGTACTATATGTGTAAAATGCTTCTTTGACAAACTTATAGTTTTCATATTGCAAAATAAAAATGAACTAAAAGGTCACAAAAACTAAGATAACTAGAAAAATAAAAAGGCTAAAAATTTTTAATTGAATAGTAAAGCAAATTTAAATATTAATAAAAGACCGTTGGATTCATATTTTATTCTAGATTATGTTTATGTAAATTTTACGCATTTTTATAAAATCTTATAGTATAAGATATAAACATTTTGAGGCAAAAATACACATTTTAATTTTTATTATTTTTTTAAAAAATATGCTATTACATGAAAACAAGTATATGCTAATATTTAAATATTGAATAAATAAAGTTTTAATTATTGCATGTTTTCAATAGATTTTTATAAAAATAGGAAATATATGACATTTCAAAAGATCTAATAAAATTTTTACTTAATATTGTATTTTGAAAATTTTTATAATTTATTAAAGTTTAATATATAAACCTGAGTGAGATATAACAATTTTAAAATGGGGGGGGGGGGGGGGGGGTTAGCTTTATTCCAACCACTCGCGTTATTTTTTTCATTAATTTATTGTGCTAATAATTTCTATATATGTTAAATAAAACAAAACAAGAAAATTAAATATATATTTAAAATAGATCAAAATTATTAAAAATATACTATTATAGTGAATTTTAGAAATTTGAACCACAAATTTATATGTCAATATTTTGGCCAATATTTATTCTTTAGGACCTCCTGTAAGGGTAATTTTTCTTCCTATCTTCTTCGGGGTGGAAAGTGTCTCTTGGCCGAAGTTTCGAGGATTGATGTGACAACACGAACGAATTTAATATTTTTTAGCTCTGAATATTTGTTTTTTACTTCCGCCACCGAAAGAGAGTCATCGTGGGTGTTAGATTTCATAAATATGTCTTCACAAATATAATCCTAAGCGGGAAGGTTACCCCTTTCCCATGGAATTGCGGTTAAACCTCTTACCGTCTTAAGTATTAAAAATGGGTCTTTTAACATCACTACTAACGAAAGCTTTTCGACAAAGAGTCGCAATTAATATAATCCGAGCTAACTGTATTATTTTAATATTATCCCTTGATCGATAACAAATTCATTAATGGAGAGTTACCTATAACCTATATCATTCCATCATTCTACCCGAAAAATTGTGCTCATAAAATAATAACTCATATTTTCTCGCACAAATTGTAATAACTTCATATTTAAAAATTCGTAGTTTCGAAATTTTCATAAGTTCTAACTTTTTATTAGAATTATATTTTGGATATGTTTTTATTTTTATAAAAAGGCTTATTTCTTCTTTTTCGATAAAGTTTCCATATTTTATTTTTTGATAGTTTCAATATCATCTAAAAATAGCTAAAATTTATATCTATAGAAACTAATATGATGAGCCTTTATTAATGGAAAAAAAAAAGGCCAGATTTTAATTTTCTAAAATTTATATATTTTTACATGTTTTCCCTAGAAATATAGTATCTACGGTTAATTTGTGCTGCAAATTAGATTTGAAAAAAATAGCGTTGAATGCAAGAAATGCCGAATATAATCCTAAACGTTTTGCTGCAGTCATAATGAGAATAAGAGAACCTCGAACGACTGCTCTTATATTCAGTTCCGGTAAAATGGTTTGCACCGGGGCCAAAAGGTAAATTGCATTTTTTTTAAATGAGGTCTCTTAATAAATAGTAAAAAGTGGTAAAAAGTTTTAGATCCATAAAATACTGATTATATAATACCAATATGTCCTTCGGACTGTATCTTGGGATTGAAAGGGATTAAAGCCTAACCACTAAATAATCTCACACCTTTTTTCTCCATTACTACCCTTATTTAAAAATACACATATTTATATTTGTTTATAGTGAGGAACAATCCAAATTAGCAGCCAGAAAATATGCCAGGATTATTCAAAAACTTGGTTTTGAGGTAAATCAATAAAATGTTTCCTGCAAATTATACACTAAATTTTTTTAGGCCAAATTTATAGATTTTAAAATTCAGAATATGGTCGGCAGTTGTGACGTCAAGTTTCCAATTCGGCTTGAGGGATTAGTATTGACCCACAGTCAATTTTCTAGGTTTTTTAAAATATTTTCTAATTTATTAGATTTTTAATCTATTAATTCCATGAAATTCTACGTTATAACTAGGGCTGTGCCTATCCAAAAATTTTTACCGATCCGATATTTATTGATCCTATAACAAATATTTTTATCGATTTTTATTTATCATCTATCTTTGAACCAATTTTATAAAAAAATCAATATTTTCTCTGCAAAAAAAATTAACTGTAAATTGAAAATTTTTGAAATTTTTTATTTCTCATGGCTAGGAGAATATTTGTTGCATTATCACGAATTATTTCTATATTATTTTTTATTCATAAAAATAAAATATGAATAATGTTAAAGCTGAATGTGACTCGTAAATTGTTACATTTGTCTTATAAAATTTATATTTTTATCTATATATGAAGTCCATTTGAAAGCTTAATTTTATTTAAAGTATTATTTAATTATATATAAATCACCTAGAATCTGTTTTGACAACAATAACACATATTGTTTTAATGGCAAAATGTTCTTCATACCATCATAATATAGTCCTCGTATAATTGATTATGTTCATAAAATTCCGATAAAGTCAAAATTAGCTGATCATATAATGTCCATATCACATATGTTTAAAATAACAACAACAGTAACTGACTATCTACAATTTTTTTCTTACACCTCCAGTAAACAATCAATAACTGACTATCTACTTTGAAGTAAAAATCTAAACCAATCATAAGAAAACAAATTATACAATTTGATTCCATCTAGAGACTTATTTAAACTTTTTATATCCAAATCAAATTTATTTATATTTAAATAAGATAACAAACTTTTTAACCAATAAATTGAATTTTTTTTATTAATCATGTTTATGTATCACTTATTCCAAATTAATCTAAGATCAATTATATACAAACATGGTTATAAAGGTATGCAATTTCTCTCATAAACCACAAACTAATGAGACAATATCTAAACTCTAAAACTATGAGCCACATCTATCTTCCAGTAACATTGACTGCCTGGACAGATAAATTTAATTTCCAATATTGTTGAAAAATTTATGTGTAAAGTCAACGAAAACATAAATTGCTTAAAATTTTGGAAGGACCTACTAACCTTATTCCACAAATGTTGCAACAAATTTTTTTACATGAACATATCAAATTACAAATTGATAATTATAACTGTCCAAATGATAAATTATATTTTTAATAACAATAAGTTGGTAAGATGATCTACACCAAATGTAAAATTGTATCAAATGAAATAAATCTTTGATTCGAAATTCGGAAGGATTCTGCAGTGATCATATTTGCAGCGGCTTGATTAATCTAGAACCCTTCATTCATTTGAGTTATAAAAGTTATTCACATTGGAACTATGGGGTTACCTTGCTTCGAGTTGAGGTACTCAAATATTAAATTTGAGCTCTGCTTTTTACTCAATAATGAGATATGATTTATGAAATTCGTCATCTATATTTGCCATAATTTTCTTAAGCTCCAATATAATGCTTTCAGCTATTCTCATAGTCTCAGTCCAAATCGATGTAAATTTTTTATTTAATTTTACAGTGAAAAGGTTATAAATGATCTTGTGAGAAATTTAAGAATGGAAGATAAATTAACGAAAATTTGAAATCGATATTAATTCATAGAATAAAGTAGCGCATTTATTTATGCTGTGAATGTGATAAATAAATGTAAATTGGAATATATATGCTATAAAAGGTAGGAATCAATAATGTTTTCGAAAAATATATCTGGCCTCTATATTTTTTGCCCTCCCCCCGCGTACGCGCCTGGTATCTCCCAAAAATCTACAGTTATGCAAATGTAAGAGCCATCAGATAGATCTAATAGACTGTCATTTCTTGAAAATATCCAAAATTCTTGAAATTCAATTTAATGAGCAAGATATCTTAGTACCAAATGAATGTAATCAGATTGATAAATAAAGGATTATCGACAAGGAAATTGGCCAAACTGTATCAATTATTTATTATGACTTTTTCCGCTAATTTTTGAACACCTGGTTCTGATGTTGTAGGATTAATCAATTTAGTTTGGATTTAATTTGATTTATTGGATGGAGCCTCTAGTACACCAATATTATCGGTATATCTATTTGTGGTCGGGTAGTGCTTGGACACAAATTTTTTCTATTCGGGCTCGGGCTGCGACCAATTTGCGCAGGGCTTTAGGTGGGAGTAGAATTTGGAGGGAGATTTAATATAAAAATAACATTTATTATCGTTCCCTACCCTATAGTTTATATCAGCACAGCTCTAGTTGTAACCTTAGTATCCAAAATCGGCTTTTAAAATTCCCTCTATACATCATTTTGTAATGGAGGAAGGGAACATATTAAGTTGTTTAAATAATATTTAATTGTGATTTATATATTTAATCTAATTTAAAAATATTAAGTTACGAGCCGGAATTGTTTCCAGGTTTAATTTATAGAATGGTTAAGCCTCGGATTGTTTTGCTTATATTTGTCTCAGGGAAGATTGTTTTAACCGGAGCGAAAGTTAGGGCCGAAATATATCAGGCTTTCGAAAATATATATCCGATTCTTAAAGGGTTTAGAAAATGTTGAAAGATGAAATTTCGATTTTATAAATTATATATATTTTTTTGTTATATTAGTTATTTATCAAAAATGTTAACCAAACTACTATAATAAAATATTTTAATTATTTGTATTGTATTATAAACTCAAAATTTGTTATATTTTTTGAATATTTAAAAATAAATCTTTAAATTTTTTAGTCACGCCGAGAACGCCGCCATTTATTAATATCAATTTATTATAAAAAATTTATACATTTTTATTCTAATAATTGGTCAACATCATAATTATTTTGACATCATTAGAATTCAATTAATCAGAAATTTCAATAATTTTGCCCATTTTTAAAATGGATAATGTTGCATCTGCTTAAATCTAAATATTTTACCCAGAGACCTGCAGGCCCGGCCTGGCCCTGAAAATTTTTTTTTTTAAATATCCTGGTCGGGCCTTAAAATTTTTTTAAAAAATTAATACAACATGAATTATTATATTCGTCAATTAGATATGGTTATAATGATTATATATAGTTATGATTAATATAATATTGGGTGAAAGTTAACACTAGCTAACACTCTTAGTATCTATTACATAATATAAATCATTTTCCTGCCATGGAATAAATACGCAAAGGATAATAGGTAATAAATACATTATAATATAATATATGTTATATTTTTTATTAATTAAAATATCAGTTTTATTTTTTTATAAATACAATTAATATAGTATATTCTCAAAATATTATTTACACAAATTTTTTATAGTATCAATTTATAATATACTAAATATCTGTTTAGAATAATAATAATAAAAATATGTAAGAATGTAGTGTTGTTAAACGGCTCGTTTTGAGCCGATTTTTAAAAACGGCTAACACAGTATCTTATCCATAAAAATATTACGTAAGCCTGAAAATTTTGTTCTTGGAAGGAGCAAAGGTCTAGACATATAGTATCGAAATTTCGAGGCTTAGTCAATATTTTTGCTTAAAACGAGCCGTTTAACAACATTAGCTAATATGATTGCTTGTTAAATTATAATACTCGCCGAAAAATATGATAAAATACCGAATAGGTGAATTTTTTGTATATACCAGGTCGAATATAATTTTAAAGCCGGGCCTAGCCTAAAATTTTTAAACCCGGGACGGGCCGGGCCGTGCAAATGTTATTTCTGCAGGTCTCTGATTTTACCATTATAAGGTAAAAAATAATAAAATAATTTCCGTAAATTCTGACAAATTTTACTGTAATTGTTGCTAAAAAAAGGTTATTGCAGATGATAATGATCCAAATGAGACCTTTTCATACCTATTAAATCTAAATCTAAATTTTAATATATTATGTTTTGTAAATTATGATATAGCTATAAAGATTCAAAACTTTACAACCAACATTAACATGGGAAATTTTTAAAAAGATTTGACTTCTTTTTAAAAAGTTCTTTATACCCAAACCAAATTCCCAGGCAGTCTTATATCTAAAATGGCTTGTAAGAAACTTGATTATTATGTTGTGCTGTCCATGGGCCTAACCATGAGGAGAGCCAAGGGAAAATTCCCCTTCGGAAATTTGACTGTTCTCGTAAATATTATTGTAATAATAAAAATCTCCCCTATTATACATCCCTCATAGACCTGCCATACTTCCAGCTGAGTTAATCTAATTCTGGCGGAAAGACGAGACTAAATTTCTCTCTAAATGTTTAAAATCCGCAAAAATCATAAAATTTTATAAGATGTCAATTTTAAAAAATTTAAATTTATTTTTATATAATATATAATATTAGTTAAAAATCTTTTTCATATTTTATCAAATTTCGGAAATTTGATGGCTAATGTGATAATGCCAATGTTAATTTTTGTAGAATTTAACGCATAATGATGGAATCTAAATAAATTAACAAATTATTTTTACCAGCAGGCTGTAACTGAAGCTAAAAAGTCCAAATAATCAATAACTATGAATTGCTACAAATATATTTAACATATTAACAAACAAAGTAAAGATCAAAAAAGATTATTACAGAGTAGGCCTATTTAAAAACGTATTCGAATCGAATAGTGCATTATTCGTATTCGATTCGTTTAAACGAATCGAATAATTTACTATTTGAATTCGTACGAATAATAAAATCTACTATTTGTATTCGATTCGAATAATTGAAATGAATTTTCTTAATAAAATAAATCAAACTCAAATATATTGACAAATTTTTTTATTGCAAATTTGATTTCAAACAGAAAAAATTATAATAATCCGATGACAAATAAATATAATCAAGTTATAAACAAAATTAAAATATTATATTATTCATTTAATTTATAATTTTAAGGCAAAGGGTTTTTCTTATATTTTCTTCTTTATGACATGCGGTTTTTTGACAACAAATTTGTGCCAACTGAGAAAAGTCTTTCACACGCAGTTGATGTTACTTGTATAGATAAATAATCTCTTGCCATTTTTGAGAGTATGGGGATCCTATGTGCATTTATCTTCCACCACATTAATGGATCAGTATCACTCTTTGATCTTGGTTCACTCAGGTAAAAATCGATTTCACATAGTTGAACATAATTTTGTGTAAAAACAATGTCAAGCCTGTTTTGTTGACTTTCATCCTTATTTTGGTAGTTGTAATTATCAGCAGCTTATAAAATAAAATGATATGTATTTAAATGGAGGTAAATTAAATACCTGTATATCTGCTGTAAATCTTTTTAAACTTATCTGTTAACCTGGATATATCAATATCATAATCAAGAGATATTGATTTAAAATATTCTATTTTGAGCCTGGGATCCAATATTGTAGCTATTATTGCATCATCTGCAGTTAAATTGTAATAGCATTTATCACATGCCACTTTGAAATCATTGTTAGAGGTTTTATGGAAACAAGGTTTCTCATTTTTTAAGTGTTCAAGAATTAGAATATAATAGGGTACCAAATTATAAGTAGGATAATTTTCCCCACAAACCATATTTGTAGACTCATACAAAGGCAATAGGATATATTTAATTTTTACAAGATCGTCCCATTCCTGTATGTTATGTTAATAAAGTATTAATTACCTATTTATAAATTTTAGTTTACCTCTGATAATTGTTTTTCTTGAAGAATTATAATATTAGTTATAACTTAATCAACTAATTTTTTTTATAACAGGCTTTAACAATAAGGCCCTTTCAATCATTTGGTAGGTGCTATTCCACCTTATTTCACAATCCAATTTGGGTTTTAAAAAATTTTTAGGAGGATGTAGTGAACTACATATAATTTTTAATAAATTTAATTTTTTAGGAGAATTACGTATCATCCTAATAATGTTTCGTAGTTATAAAATTGATGGATTTAAAATTTTTAAAATTTCTTTGGATATTAAATTAATAACATGAGCAAAGCATCGAATGTGCCCTATTTTTATTGATGGATATTTTAAAGAAAATATATCAATAAATGTTTTATTAATAGTAGCATTATCTAGAGTTATATAAAAATTTTTATTCTCCAAATTATAATTTTTAATTATTTTAATAAAGGCTTTAAATATGTTTTCACCTGAATGTTGTTCATTTATTGGAGCAACATCCAAAATTATGTTATTTATTTTAAAATTATCATCAATAAAATGGGCTGTTAACCCTAAAAAAGGAACCTGAGTTGGGCTAGTTCAAATATCAGATGAAAAATTAATCTGACTTTTATTTTTGGATATTATATCCTTTACCAACTGTTCTTTTTCTGCAAATGTATTATACATATGCAATTTAAGAGTATTGGAGCATATTGATTTTATAGAAGAATCAAGATCATTTATAAAATTTTTAAAATCAGGTGAATTAACAATTTTAAAAGATAAATTATTATTAATAAATAATTTTAGTAAGTTATCTTTATAATTAATTTTTTTAGATAAAGAAAAAGGTGATTGTCAATTTTATTACTGTTTTTACAGAGATGTGAATGAAACCTATTATAATGATTAATAAGAGGCGATGTTGTTTTGCCTTTGCATTTAATAATGCTCTTGCAATGATTGCAAGCAGCCTTTTCACCATTGAGTTGATATTGATCCCATATAATCGCTCTTTTTTGTGAAGAAATTTTGTCAACATCAACCATAACTATTTCATCCGAATCATTCTTTTCTAACATAATTAGGCTAGCTAACAATATTTTATTATAAAGATATAATATATTTTTATATAGCTTTGGTTTTTGTATATATTTTTATATACTTTTGGTTTGTGTAATTTTTAATATAATTAATTTTGAAAAAATACGGGAAATTAAAATTTTTGCTAGTCTTTTTATAAACACATCACCTGTCAGATTGGCAGGTTATCAAATAGAAATGACAAATGTTAGATTTATTTTTAAAAAAAGCAATTTATTAAATATTACGAATAATTCGTTTTATTCGAATAATTCGTATTCGGATAAAACAAATAATTTATTATTCGTATTCGTAATTATTCGAATCGAATATTCGAATTTTTTTTGAATAGGCCTATTACAGAGATATATATTAGAATAAACAAATCTTGTTAAGAAGGTACATACGAAATGGTTATCATTTGTTCCTATAAATTTTCTAGTTATTGAAAACTTTTTTCATTATATTATACGCAGTTTTTAAAAATATATTATATGATAAATTAGCCGAAGCATATCTAGCGTGCCATGATCTACTGCTTGTGGCCCTTTGTATAAAATGATTAAATAAACTTGAATTAAGTAATGATAATCAACTATTAGCAGTAATGAAGGATATGATCAGCAAAATCTTTGTCAAGTGTTCTCATCTGATAGACAAACGAAGCATAATAATCCCAATATTTCAGAAATAATGATGTATTCCTACAAAATAATTGATCATTCCAGTGTTGTTAAAAGGCCGAGTTCACCTACCTCAGAGTCTGTAGTCGACTAACTCAAGTCGTGAATCCTATTTTTTTGGTATTTTTAAGCCCTAGCTCGACGCGATTAAAATTATTTTTTTTATCTAACCCCAGAAAACGCCATTGCGTTTTGCTGCTTCTTTACACTTGGTAAATAATTTTTATTTGAACTAAATATAATAAAAACTTTGAAAATATTTGTCAAGATTAT